CCCCCCCCCCCCATCTTCCAGAGTTCCCCACGTGTCCCTCAGGATCCCTCCCTATCCTTTCCCATGCTTACTTGTGGCTGCCCACACTGTCTGTCCTGGGGAAGCAGGCAGGGAAAGGGTTAATGTGGTTGCCCAGCCCCTCCTGCCAGGTTGCTGCTCTTCTCTGGACTGAGTCTGCTCAGAAAGCAGTGGCTAACTTTGAAGAGCCTAACGAGTGCTTAAAACTAGTTTCAGGTGTTAATGTACTGACAGTCCAGATGTTAAGAGCTCCAGGCATCACCCAATATTACTATGGGACAAGGCTCTTATAAACTGCACCATAGCATAGCAAAAAATAAACTCCAAGTCCTGTAAATACAGATGGTTCAGTTGCTGTGAATGCCCAGTACTAATGCCAGTTCATATTGGCCTAATACATTAGAAATAAAGTAATATACAGAATGATGGAAAACAGCATATGCCTAGTTTCAAAATTAGCAGTCACTCCATAGAGATTGATATGGTCATGTCACATATTAATGACTTATTTAATAGCTAGTGTCAGTAAGTACTGCATATGTTCTCTGCTGATGCTTTATAAAAAATGCATGTTTTGTGGTTTAAAAAGTTAAGCTGACTTCTAGTTTGTATCTGAAATATTTTATTTAGAAGTTTTCAAATACTCTGTTCACCTACTGTTTTCCATTTGAACTATTGTATGTATCAGAACCAACAAATAAGAGCTAGTTCTTGCACAAAACCATGCTCTAATACTTTTCAAGGATTTATACTTTTATCTTCTCTGCTGCAGCTGTGTGTGTTTAAACACAAAATAGTGCATGTTTAGTTCTGAAAATCCAGTACATTTCTGATGATAATCAATTCCTAATGAATGATCTCTATCACACAACAATTGGATGTGGAATGTCTTCCTCTGGGAATGGTATCAAAGATGTGTAGTGAATACCATATAGGAGCAAATAAAAATGGGTATTTAGTAATTCAAGGCTCTCTCTCATTCTGTTTACTAACCCCATAATGGTTTGCGTATTCATTTCAGTATCTGAACTGTTAATCCTCCTTCTCTATTTTGAAATATATTTTGTGGAGCATGCTCACATTTCTGCAGATACATTTTAAACCCCATCAGTTAAATTAAACACTTATGCTGTAAGACCATGTTTTTCAAATATGCTGAAGATCATGAGACATGAGACCATGTGATCATGAGAGGTTTGAAGATGAAGAAGAGGTATTAGGATTGATTGTATTATGCAGTTCATTGCTGTTAAAATAATATCATCCTTTTGCTTTTAGCAGCTTTTGCTTTGTAATTTCTAGCTCAGTGTGCCACAGCAAAAAGAATTGATATTTATTGTTATCTTACACCTGGTATTCACACTATATTATAAGTGACAAAAATAGACAGAATTTTCTTTTTAATGCCTGACAATTCCTAAAAGGATGCCAATTTCTTTTAATATAATTTGGACTTCAGCTATCTTGAGTACTGCTGCCTTTCTCTGAAAGTTTGAATTGTATGAGTATAGTTTCTTTTTATATAGCATGATATTTATAAAAGCTTCAATGTGTCATATCTAGCAAAGCTTTGGTTTCTCTTTTTGTGGAAAAAATATTTAATAAAAGAAAAAGAGCTACAATTTACATGAAAGTCTCAGCTGTTAATTTTTGCACAGAGATACCTTTGTTTGCTGGAACACATGTGGGGAATCATCTACCATTAGAGAATGTTACCTTTCCTCCTAAGGTGTGGAACAATTTGCACTCCTAAAATGCACTCCAGTCAAGCAATTTACTGGAAGAAATTAAATATCCCTTTTTTCAGCCAAATTGCCTCTCCCTTCCAGAGGTCTCCTATTCTCAAACAGCATAAGCATAGAAATAATTTCACAGTAGACACCACTTAATAGAAATTGTTCTTCAGAGAGAGGGCATTTGAGATCTGACAGAGTTTGTTCCTCAAAGACTTCAGAGCCCTGATTAAGTACTAATTTTTCTCCTCTTTGCTTTATTTCTCTCTTTGTACTCTTCTGCAAATATAGTACTAGCTATGTGCAACCATATTAAGTCTCAGTAAAATTTGTAGGTTAGTCTAAGCTTTGTAGGTTAGTCTAAGCTGCGTAGATTGAACCAATAAGCAAGTGAACAGACTTTAACTTTTGATTCCAGAAATGTAGCAAGCACAAGCCTGGCCAGAGGCTGGGGGGCACTGGAGCATACCTCCCTGCTCAGCTGGAGCAGACATCTTGGGCCACAGCTATCCAGCCTGCTATGCAAGGGAGGATTTACAGGGGAGGTACAAAGCATCCTGGGATGCTGAGGGACTGTGAGTTAACTTAAATCTGGAGGGGATCTGGGACAGAAGTTTAGTAAACCAATTTAACCTAAAATCAGTTAAGTCTGATACTACATCTATCCAGGTTTATCTTAAACCAGGTTCAGCCATTTTGAAAGTGGTTTATGTGCACTGAACTTCTGTTATGTTACAGTTTTGAACCAGTTTCCAAACGCTTATACCAATTTATGTGTAATTTTTGCCTCTAGCCTTTGGGTCTTCTCCCACTCTCCAGGGTTATTTCCTTTGTTTAACTTTATCTTTCTGACCTCTGTTAGGCATTAATTTAAATGCTTATGTAGGCAGGGATTATTTTTAAGTTGTCATGTATATGTATGTTACCACAGAGCTGTGTGCCCTGTTACTGTGCATCAGTTCCTAGGTGGAAGCATTCAAACCATTCTATCCTGTACAAGGGGGAAATAATCAATTTCTGATCCTGAAAAGACTTGAATATATGTATAAACTTATCCTCATATGAGTACAGTAAGACTTGGCTTCAGTATAACTACTTGCAGAAGGAAAAACAAAACAAAACACAACAACATGATTCTGGAAACCAAGGCCCTGTTCTGTTACTTTATCCTTGGCCTCTACGTTTTACTTTCATAGGAGTAGTTTGATACCACTTTCAATATATATTACTAGCTAGATAGAGAAAAAAGTTCATCTTGCAAAGGCGACTAGCTAATGATTAATTGAAGACGTGTACTAGCCAGCCTAACTCCAGTTAAGTAAAATCCTTAAGTATGAAGCTGTACTTTTAAATTCTAAATACATGCATAGCTTCTGAATTTTTGTGGGTGTGCTCACATACTTCAAGTTAAATTCTAAAGTCCTGTATAGAACTCCTGCATGATTACGGCCTTAGAAATGAAAGGCTACTGAGCCATTCCCAGGCCCCCTCTTATCTGTATTAAACATACATACTCAGACTCATCATATTCCTTTTTTTTCCTTATCAGATAGCAAAATTCAGAGTTGTTTATATAATAGCTTTTATCACCTTTTCTTGAAATCAGTAGTTCTTGCATTTTCTTTTTATGAATTAAAACCATTGGCCACTTCCAGATAAGTGTGGCTATGCAGTATGTGGCACCGCATCTGTGTGCCACATACCACACATTTGGCTGTTCTCCATGCTGCAGGGGAGCAGCACAGGGGGTAGGGAGGATTTGACAGCTGGATATCCAAGGGTCAAAAGAACACACACACACACAGACACACACACACAAGTGGAGCAGCATACACAGGGGCAGTGTCCACCGCTCAAAACCAGAGCCTGGCCAGCCAGAACCACATTCCAGCTGCCGTCTAGGCTCCGAGCAGCAGGATCACCACTGCTGGAGCCAGGTAAGGCTGCTGGGGCCAGCCCAACACTGGCCCCAACCTCTGCTACCCCACCCAGGTAACCTGCCATGTGTCAGAGGGTGTGTGGCACAGGGGGACAACTATCAGCAGCACAGGGTGTCCCACTGCTAGTTGTTCTGTGGAATTAAGTGTCCACACTCATGTGTATGTAGGCATTGAGAGCATTTACAAAGTTCCCTCCCTGTTTCTGTATATATCAGAATTTAGCTCATTTTTACATTGGAAATGCTACTGATAAGCAAAATGGGGCCATATTTAAACTGCAAAGACACATGAGCTCCCAAAGTTGTATAAATATTATTTGCATTATTTTCTCTTGCTAATGACAACTTGAAAAAAGGGGAAATAGCTTAAACATCTGACAGTTTCTATGGCAGCAAGTGTAAGAAGAGTCAGTATCTCGACAACTAATTCTTCCCTTCTGGCTTTCAGAGTGTGGAAGGAGAGCACCATGAAAAGGCAGTGGAGCTTTTGAAAGCTGCTAAGGATAGTGTAAAGCTAGTGGTACGCTACACACCCAAAGTGCTGGAAGAGATGGAAGCTCGCTTTGAAAAACTGAGGACAGCACGACGCCGGCAGCAACAGCAGTTGCTAATTCAACAGCAGCAGCAGCAACAGCAGCAAACGACACAGCAAAACCATATGTCGTAGGTGAGAGTATTCATTGGTCTTGATTTTGGCTGTGCACCTCTTGCCAGCTTATGAGCATTGACTGAAATGGGGACTGAAGGTTGCTCATCACTCAGTAGACTTCCATTTGCCCAGCCCCCAGAAAAATGCATTTTAAAAATAGGGGATGTCACATCAAATTCTGAAGCCATATTTCCAAGTCAGAACCCAGAAATCAAAACCTGATATGCATCTCCCTTTCTTATGGACAAGGAAGAGTAAACAGTAAGTTACTATTCTTCTGGGATACCTTACATTAAAAAAGAAAAAGTGTGCTAGTAAAGTAACAATTATTTGCTACCATCCCTACTTTGAGCTTGGTAGGGAATGTTTCCTTCATCCTACAGGTCAGGGGTGCACAATTATTATTTCAGGTGAAGGACCACTTACCAAGTTTTGGCAAGCTGTCGAGGTCTGCATGGGTAGCTCCACCCCCTGGTCACCATCTTGTGACTAGAAGTCCCACCCCCTAGCTGCTGACCTTTGCCACCAGAAGTCCCTCCCCTTGCCCCCCAGAAGTACTCCTTTCAGCAACGGGTTTTGCCATCTCAGAACCAGAAAAATACCAGATTATATTCTAAAAAGCAAACATCTACAACATTCATTAATTTAATTTCAAAAAATATTTTTGTCCTGGTTTACATGCATTTGTGTAGTGTACAAGAGGTGATTGTGGGTACATGTGTATGGTGGGGTGCGCGAGGGGGAGTGTGGGTACATGTGTATGGTGGGGTGTGCATATGGGACTCACCCTATGAACACAC